CTTCCTTCCTTCCTTCCTTCCTTCCTTCCTTCCTTCCTTCCTTCCTTTCCTTCCTTCTCCTTTCTTCTTCCTTCCCCTCTTTCCTTATTTTTCCTTCCTTGCTCTCTTCCCATCTTTTTCTTTTTCTTTCCTCTTTCCCTTTCTCCTTTCCTGTCCCTTCTTGCATGCTCAAATGCAAAAGGGGAAACATTTCTCCTTTTGTTTTGTTTTTAGTTTGTTTTGCTAGCCCTCTGCCAGCGAAAATGGAGCTTGGGGGGGGGATAGTGCATGTGCTGCCTCCCTGGGCCCCATTTTCAGCCATGATGGCTTCCTGCAGCACTCTGCCAGCAAAAATGAGGCCTGTTTTCACTGGCAGAGTGCTACAGGAGGCCGTTGCAGCCTAAAGTGGGGCCCAGGGGAGGGCTGCACACGGCCCTCCTGAGCTCCATTTTCCCTGGCAGAGGCATTGCAGGCCAGTCCTTTGCTGTTTCTAAGGTGGCCCCACAGGCCAGATCTAAGCAACCTGTGGGCTGGATTCAGCCCAGAGGCCTTGAGTTTGACACCCCTGATGTTCACCACTGGAGAACATCCGGTTGAGTATGGATGTCCCTGGTAACTCAAAACAGGGACAACCTTCTGAACACTGAGTTCTCACCGTTATATATATATTTTTATTTACAAATGGTAGGGTTCATTAATAGGTTCAAATGTGCACCAAATCCTGCATTATCCATGATGTGCTGGCTTCTCATCTTGTTGTGATCTAGCACAGCACTAGACTAAAACCCTGAACTCCTCTCTCAGATGCCTGGGCAAGGACAAGAAGCTACTGAAACGAGGATCAGCCTCTGTGGGTGGGCATCTCCAACTCCGAAGCCAGTAATGCCTACCAAAATGGCACTGAAGTTCTCTTTCCTTCCTGTAAAAATTATTAAACATCTCTCTTTATTACAGCATAGATGACAATACTACTGAAAACAGAGCAGCAAATACTCACCGATGGTTTTGAAGCAGCCAATTTGTTGCTTTCTGGGGTCTTAGTTAGCCATTCATTGATGCGACTGGAGACTCCGACCTTCAGCCCAGCTGTTTCCTGCAGAACATTTGTTTTGTAAACAGGATTGGAAACTTCACAATAAGATTCAACAGGGATGCACTACAGATTGCAACAGCTTATCTACCGAATCTATATGGCTTAGTGTGTAAGATTGCTAAATCACATAAATATTTGTGTAATTTCACGAAAACATGTAGGAGAATGTTGAAGTCTGTAGCAAAGTACTTTAATCTTAGGAGATTTCAAGTGACTGTCTTAAACCTCACAACATTTCAGCTTTCCTGTGAGAAGTCCTGTGATACTAGAAATGAGATTGTCCAGAGCTTGTGAAATCTGACTATTTTGCAAGATATTATATGATTAAAATAACAACAAGGATAAACGTACAGGAGGGTTCCATGATGCATCCTATAGTTGAAAAGCTTACCAAGCCATGAGATCTTATGCCAGAGTTTTGTTGCATAAACTCAGAGCAATGTCTCTTTGAAATACCATCTCAGAAACAGAGTAAAAAATACCTTTCAGAAAGCTAAACTATGGAACTCTTCCCTTCCTGTTTGAAGTTCAGAACCTGCATGTTCACTATATTAATACCTCAGGTCTTACTTATGTGCCTTGCATTTCCTTTGCATTTAATCTTGACCTGGGAATTGCAGAGGCAGTCATAACAGCAGAAGAGTCTGAAGGATAGCAATAGCAATAGAACTCAGACTTATATACCGCTTCACAGTGCTTTTACAGCCCTCTCTAAGCGGTTTGCAGCATCAGCATATAGCCCCCAACAATCTGGGTCCTCATTTTACTGACCACGGAAGGATGGAAGGCTGAGTGAACCTTGAGCCAGGTGAGATTCAAACTGCCAAATTTCAGGTAGCTGGCAGTCAGCAGAAGTAGCCTGCAAAAAACTGCACTCTAAAACCACTGTGCCGCCACGCATATACCTTATTGGGTGTCCCCATTCCAGAGGGGGATGCAAACACATTGCCTTTCTCCCACATGCTCTTGATGTTACGAACTCCCTCAGCAGGAACTGGGAGGTCAGAAGCAGCTGGCTTGGTGGCCTTTGCAGCTTTGTTGCCCTGCAAGAAGCAATTGGTGAGTCAGGGTAGCGTCAAGCTTCCAAGTAACACATCCCCTTCAATGAGAACTCTGAGGCAGGCATATTCCTCAAAAAAAAAAACATTTTATTGGGACATATCAAATTGGCACAAATGCAATGCAAAGAGAAACCTCCATAGAGGAAAGCTACAAAAAGAAAATGGCCACAGTTAGGCCAGCTTCAGGTTGACAGGTAGCTGTTCCAATATCACAAGAGTGATGTGCTACCACTCTCCTCCTCCTCCTCTTTTTTTTTCTTCCTCCTACTTTACAAGCTGCTATTGGGCTACAGCCTGGCTGAATCTCACCAACTTACAAGCCAACAATCCAAAAGAGAGGTGGCCAAAATAAATCCACAATTTCCCCAAGTTCATCTCATGCCAATCTCTCAAATACACCTCACCCAAAAGCCATTGAAAGGAAGACTGAAACAGAGGCTCGGGCAGTGCAGGAAGCTTAAGTGAACGGGGGCATTTGAATGAAATACATTTTATTTATTTGTTAGATTTTATCCCACCTTTCTTTGAAAAGCTTTAAAGGTAAAGGAATCGGTGCAGATTTTATTCCGCTAGTTGTTGCCAACTATAGGTGGCAGCGTTCATCTCCATTTCAAGGCCATTGAACCAGTGCTGTCCAAAAACATTTCTGCAGTCATGTGGCCAGTATGACCTCATGGAGCACTGTTAACTTCCCACCAAAGTGGTACCTATTTATCTATTCCCATTCACATGCTTTCGAACTGCTAGGTTAGCAGGAACCGGGGCAAGGACAGGACTCGCATGGCACTGGGCTCTTGAACCTGGTCTGCCAGTTTTCTAGCCAACAAGCCCAGCATCTTAACTGCTGAGCCACCACACTGCCCCAGAAGCTTACGGCAGTATATTTCTCCCTGCAAAAATCCTTGAAAGGTAAGTTGGATTGATTGAGAGTAACTGGCCCAAATAACTCAATGAGTTTCCATGGCTGGGTCTCTCTGGGTCCTATGTAACATGCTAACCAGTACCTAAATAAATATCCATTGCTCCATCTCTTCCAAGGAATTCCAGAGTATTTAATGATATGTTTTAAAAAAATCTTGGTCTATGAAAAATGTTTGATTAGACCTGACCACAGTGGTTAATCAGAGAAACATGGGAAATTGCGAAAATAAAAGCAGCTCACCTCAATTGCGCTGGTATATTGTTCCAGCCTACTGTCTATCTTGGAGACAACCGGAGTTGTGTGAGTAGGTTTCATGCCACTGTGAAAAGAATGAAATGACAGACTTATCAGTTCATATCCTCCATGTTAAGTTTCATTGTGACTTTTTTCTTTATGTTTGAGTTCTTTACCTCTTCTGGACAGATTTGTTCAAGAACTCTGCACGTTCTTCTATCTAAAGAAAAGAGACAGAGAAGTAAGAAAATAAAAGTGAGGTCTACAAATGTAACAGAACCTGGAAGAGGTTTAAATAATGCAATGGTTTTACATAGACGCAACAAACATATCAAGTGCGTAACACACATCACAGCAACAGCACAATGAAAGGGTCAGGGCCCACACTTAGGGTCAACTTTGGATCCCAAAATGTCACAGAGTTTTTAAGAAAAACAAAATTAACAGAGCAAAAGTGTTAAGATGAAGTGGTTTTAAAAAGTTACCCCAGGACAGGAAGAAAAAAAGAATCACTCCACATGCAGACTCAATACAGAAATGGAACCAGATGTTGTAAAAGAACTGAAAACAGCACCCCTGTGTTTTTGTTTTTCTTTCTCTAAGAATATTTGGAGTTCTAAAATGCATATCATTCCATTCTGACATCTCTCTTCCCCCAGTCTGACATCCTTTTTGGAGTGTACCAGGTGACAAAACTATACGTTAGAAAGAAGAAAAGAAAGTGATGTCAGATGTAGCACAGGTCTCTCAAACCATCCAAATACATTAGTCCAAGGCTGCCTCCTCTTAGCACCTGTATTATTGATTATGCAGATGGTTCTTGAAATTGCCTTTGATAAAAGTTACTAACAGAGTGAAGCCAAAAATCTCAAATTATCTGAGATAAATTGAAGAAGTAATTTGGCCATCCAGTTTTAAAAATGTCACAATCCTGAGTATTTTTTTAAAAAAAACCAACTATCTAGCTTCTTGTCTAATTTTCTCACTGCACAGTTCTATCTATAATACAACCCCAAATTTATCAACTACTCCACCTTAGTACCCTGATTAAAAATCAAAGTTGGACCACAAGATTCTATTTGAGATATGATAGGGATACGGTATTAAAACAAAAACAAAAAAACAGGGACCTATTCTAAAGTACAGAGGAAAGGAGTGAAAGATTTCATACACAAAATTGCTTAAGGAATTTGGGAAATTTTCCACAAACTGCAATGTTCAGATTAAAGAATTCTTGAATCTTTAGATTAATCGTCCAAAAAGGAATACCATAACATGATGTTGTGCTGCTTTTAAGAGTCACCAGATGGCAGCAAAACTGAGGTAAAGTTTGTTTTTCCAACTCTGAGTGTTCCTTTAAAAGTTACAAAGTTCCCACATTGATAACACTTGCAAGCCACCACAAGCTCTTGTTGCTCTTATTTTTATTTTAACCTGCAAGCACATGCTAGAAAATGCCACGGTTAGCTACAAAGGGATTAATGGGTTACTATCTGTGGATAATCTGTATGGCTTTTTATATAGAGGGAGGGGTGAATAATTAGGTGACAAAATTCACTGCATCTGAAGCAGGTTCCAACACATTCTGCTCTTTTTTCAGGAGTTGCATTTTCATTTCTGTCCCTATCAAAAATCCACACTTTTCCTAAGCCAACAAGAGATGTTATTTCAGAAATAGAACACTGTGCCATATCTAACAAAATGAAATTCAATGTAGAGAAAAGTAAAGTCCTGCACTTAGGCAAGAAAAACCAAAAGCACACATATAGACTGGGTGAAACCAGGCTCAATAGCAGTAACTGTGAGAGGAATCTTGGAGTCTTAGTGGACAACCAGCTAAATATGAGCCAGCAGTGTGCATCAGCAGCCAAAAAAGCTAATGCAATCCTAAGTTGTATTAACAGAGGGATACAATCAAAGATCAAGGGAAGTACTAATACCACTCTATAAAGCCTTAGTAAGACCACACTAGAGTACTGCATCCAGTTTTGGTCACCACGTTATAAAAAAGATGTTGAGAATCCAGAAATAGTACAGAGAAGAGTGACCAGGATGATTAGAGGACTGGAGACTAAGGCATATGAAGAACGGTTACAGGAACTGGGCTTGGCTAGTCTAGTGAAGAGAAGGACCAAGGGAGACAGGATAGCAGTCTTCCAATATTTGAGGGGCTGCCACAGGGAGGAAAGGGTCAAGCTATTTTCTAAAGTGCCTGTAAGCCAGACAAGGAATAATGGATGGAAACTGAACAAGGAGAGATTTAACCTGGAAACAAGGAGAAACTTTCTGACAGTAATCAACCAATGGAACAGCTTGTGGGAGCGCCATCACTTGAGACTTTCAAGAAGAGATTGGACTGCCATTTGTCAGAAATGGTGTAGGGTCTCCCACTTGGGCGGGGGGTCGGACTAGATGACCTACAAGGTCCCTTCCAACTCTGATTATTTGTTAAATCTGTTAAATGTCAGACACCAGATACAGATTTTGCAACTCTTGGTAGAAAAGGATGAGTGATTCAATTTTAGTTAAAGCAAATAAAAAACTTCCTTGTTTGGCATGTCCAAAACTAAGCTATCCATCTGATTTCTCAACCCTTGAATGCTTTAAGAATGCTTTAAAAGTGTAATAACTCTAAAATGTACAGGTCAGCATTTATTTGTAAGACTGAAGTGTGCTTGTTACAGCACACATTTGTTCAGAATTAGAAAGGTTCTTTAGGTGAGCATATGCTTAAGTAACTGACAAAAAGAAATTAAATTAAATCCACATCTTAACTTTCTTTTTGTCAGATACTTAATTGTCAAATTCTTCTTGAAGCCCAATCTTTTACCTGTGAAAATAGTTATACACCAAAAATTCTTTACAGCTATAGCATCTTGGTAACTCTTCTTGGGAAGAGTTCTCATTTCTATATCAGGGGCAAAGCAATTTAGTTGCCCAAAATATTTATATTTATCAGCTTTTGCTGGCAGTTTTTATGCTGTTGACTGGCTTTTATTCAAAGAGGAGCATAAATATGCTATCACATAAGTATATTATAATTGTTGTTTCTTTTCTGTTTGGGTAAGTGAGATGCATCTGCTAACAGGATTTATTAGAACAATGAGGCCAGTGACTGTTCGATCAAAACCAGCATAACACCATATACACTCTTAGGAAACAAAAGTCTCCACAACAACAAGCAACCACATGCCCACAACTGAAAATTGGTAAGAAACATACGGTATACAGAATTACAAAATATATCTGTAAAATAAGATGGAAAGCATAGCGTTAAGAAGATGCTCTTGTACTTGTCCTTAAATTAGGAAGTTGAACTCCAGAGTCTCTTTTTTTCTTATTCTGTTTTCGGAATTTGATGTTGTTCTATTCATAAAAATAATAAGGTGAAATCCTATGAGATAAAATGATGGTTCTATAGAGCAGGGGTGTCAAATTCATGGCCCACGGCCGAATGAGTCACATGCTGGCCCCACCCGGCTTAGCGAAGGGGAAAAAAAATCCCGATATGTCATGTGATGCTGCCGTGACACCACCAGTTTAACATCCCTGGTATAGAGCATTCCCTTCACACATATGAATACATATACTCAGGTGGATATGTCACATGATTCATTGATGGAAGTAAATCATGTGACATATTCCCAAACAACTTTCCCACACACATTGCTTAGGATTCATGCTGTAAATTAGAGATTCAAAATAAAGAGGCCACCTTCGGTCTTTTTCCTGTTAAAAAGAAGATTATATACATTCTAATGCAACTCAGTCATTGCATGGATGAGACTGCCGCTTATCTACCTCAATTCAATTTGCGGAAAGTTGTTTGGGTTTTTGCTCCCTTCGTTCAGCATACAAAATGCTTTTCCCACCAGGGCGGTGAATATTGGCACCTCCCTGGCTCCCAGGATTTGTCTTAACATACAATTGTTGTGATGCAAGAAGCCCTAACATCAGGAGTGGGTTCTACCGGTTCGAGTGAACCGGATGTTAAAGTTACAGCTGGTTCAGCAAACCGGTATTTCAACCGACTGCATGACCGAAAACAGGAAGTTCCGGTAGGCCCCGCCCACCCAGCAACCGGGCAGTGAATCGGTTGCTGGGATTTTTGAATCCCACCCCTGCCTAACATGCAAAAGTCTAAGAACTTTGCACAGAAAATAGGACAACAATGAAATCAGAAGATGCGTCTTGCGTTATATAACGGTGCTTTTAGGTATTGTCATAGCAGCACATACAATGCACATGTTGCTAATGTTGATTCTTGTACAGCCAAGAAGATGAGGATTGGAAGGTCAGATATTTGATCAAAATGATGTGGCATCAGCAGATATGGAAGGAGTATTACCTTGAGAGCAGAACCTTTTGGAGTGAAACACTTGAAGGGCTTCTTGTCATCACCCTGGGCTTCTTCTGGCATCTTCTGGCGTTTCTCAGCAGCTTCTGCCCTTCTTCTCTCAATTTCTTCCTTCAGCCGCCTCTTCTCCTCCTGCCCAGAAAAACCAGGAAGGAAATATTTAATTGCCTGTATCAGCAACTTCAGCTAATCCTTAAGATTCAAATGAATGTATGTATGTATGTATGTATGTATGTATGTATGTATGAATGAATGAATGAATTAATTAATTAATTAGTTAATTCTTTATTGGCCAAGTGTGATTAGACACCCAAGGAATTTATCTTGGTGCATATGCTCTCAGTGTACATTCAGATACATTCATCAAGAATCCTAAGGTAGTCATAAAATAGTCATAGGCTACAATAAACAATCAAATCATACTAGGAAACAGTCGATATAAATTGTAAAGATACAAGCAACAAAGTTACAGTCATACAGTCACAAATGGGAGGGGATGGATGATAGGAACAATGAGATTAATAGTAATAGTAATGCAGACTTAGTAAATAGTTGGACAGTGTTGAGGGAATTTTTTGTTTAGCAGAGTGATGGCGTTTGGGGAAAAACTGTTCTTGTGTCTGGTTGTTCTGGTCTGCAGTGCTCTATAGCGTCATTTTGAGGGCAGGAGTTGAAACAGTTTATGTCCAGGATGTGAGTTGTCTGTGGACATAAATGTGGCAATAAGGAACAGGTCCAGCTGCAATAACTGATGTTGGTATTAGCAAGAGGGAGCAAATAATGAATGCAAGATCTAACACTCTGTACATGCATTGTGGCATCATACAAATGTCCTATAAGGCAGAACTTGCCTTAGATCAGGGCTGTCAAACTCCTGGCCCGCAGGCCAGATGCATCAATGTACAAAGGGGGGGGAAAGTCCTAATATATTGTGTGACGCAGGTGTGATTATGTGAGTTTGACACCCTTGCATTAGAGCAGGGGTCTTCAAAATTGACAGCTTTAACACTTGTGGACTTCAACTCCCAGAATTATTCCTGTAGTCATGTTAGCTCAGGAATTCTAGGAGATGAAGTCCACAAGTCTTAAACTTGCCAAGTTTGAAGACCCCTGCATTAGATCATCACAACACTTATTCTTATTTTCAGATTCTGTAGACACCTATCAGGCACCATTTAAGTTATGCAAAAGTGTACACGAAACCTGAATCATTTAAACCTACTTGTCAGACAATGTAGACATCTTACATTCAATGCCTGACCATAGTCGGCATCAATTTCTATGCAGATGTGAATATGTAATGGTTGTTCTTAAATAATGTTGAAAATGTGTTCAAATTTTTAAATACAATCCATAGATGGCTGTTTTGTTAAATTATCAACACATCTGAATGGTTCCAGGTTGGGCATGATTGCTGGAAATTATACAAAAAGATGGAACAAGAGATCATTAAATGCCCATTGTGCCATAATATGTTTCAAATACGGTATGTTAATCAGTGACCTGGTTCATTCATGATTCTAAACTCAAAACTACAGTGTGGGAATTCGCAGACTCTGGGAATAAAAATGGGCATTCCTAAAATATAGCAGAACAAGAAAGATGCTCATTTGCGCCTCAGCCTCCACTCCATCAAATTAAGGCACTGTAAGAAAGAAAATGAAAGATAATAAGGAGGTTCCACCTTAATGTAATCATTGATAAATTAGGGCCAAGTAGGCACATCCAGTTCACAAGATTTTGTAATCTAATCCTTTGCTCATAAATCTGCTTTTGTGGTTCTCCGTGTTGGTATGGTCTTATGAGTAGGAGTAAAGGGTTTACAGCCCACAATGGAAGCGTCCATGCAGTATATTAATCCAAACAAATCGAACAGAATCGCTTCTTGGGACTTAGTGCATTCACTCTGCTAAGCTAAAATTGAATAAATCACTGCCAAGTCGAAACACACCACATGTTAAATTGTAAGTCAAAAAAAAAAGAATAGCAGATTCACATATCATCCTAAGCCAAAAGTAAATTATTCTATCACTTTTGGCTTAACCCAATGGCAGCAACATGCTTATCCATCACTGAATTAACTTGTTTTCTTTCTTCATACAGCACAGCGAACCACAACTAACCAGAAGGTTAGATGTACACAAAAATGCTAAGACACACACATTCACAGACTCTAAAATCAGCACCAGCCAAGCTGTGTGCATTTATTTTAGCCATACTTTTATTATTTTTATCACTCAAGGCAGCAAACATACCTTATACAGGTAATCCTCACTTAACAAGTTCATTTAGTGACTGTTCAAACGGCAATGAAAAAAGTGACTTATGACTGCTTTTTACACTTAGACCTTTGCAGGATCCGCATGTTCACGTGATTAAAATTTCAGCTGCTTGGCAACTGGTTCGTACTTATGACCGTTGCTATGTCCCTAAGTCATGTGATCATGTGATCACCTTTGGCGAGCAAAGTCAATGAGAGAGATTCACTTAACAACCAGGGTTACTAACTTATCAACTGCAGTGAGAACTTAACAACTGTGGCAAGAAAGGTCATAAAATGGGGCAAATTAACAAATTTCTCACTTAGCAAGAGAAATTTTGAGCTCAGTTTTGGTCGTAAATCAAGGGCTACCTATACACTTCCTCCTCATATTTTGCCCATAACAACAACAACCCTGTGAAATGGGTTGAGATAGAGCAGGGGTGTCAAACTTGATTTCATCGAGGGTTGTGTTTGACCTTGTGGGGGTGTGTGGCCAGGGTGGGTGTGGCCAGCTCAATGTCACGCATGTCAGGGGCGCCTGTGGCGGCCCAAGAACTCTGCCAGGGAAAACGGGCTCCCGATCTCCGTTTTCGGTTGTGACGGCCTCCTGCAACCCTCTGCCAGCAAAAAACGAGCTTGAGAGGGCCACACGCAGCCCTCCCGAGCTCCGTTTTCATTGGGAGAGACACTGCGGGCCAGTCCTTCGCTGTTTCCAGGGTGGCCCTGTGGGCCAAATCTAAACACCCTGTGGGCCGGATCTGGCCCCCAGGTCTTGAGTTTGACATCTGTGAGATAGAGGGACTGGCCCAAGATCATCCAGTCAGCTTTCATACATAAGACGAGACTAGAATTTATAGTCTCTTGATGATTGGCTCAAAGTCACCCAGCTGGCTTTCATACCTAAGACAGGACTAGAATGTACTGTCTTCTGGTGACTGGCCCCGAGTTTACCCAGCTGGGTTTCAGGCCTAAGGCGGGACTAGAACTCATCGTCTCCTGGTTTCTAGCCTGGTGCCTTAACTGCTAGGCCAAGCTGCTTTTCTGCATGTGTTTGGTTTTTAACTTATCTGATTAAGTGCCCTGTGCAAAGCCAGACCAAGTATGAAACCCAGGGACACCTTTACTCTAAAATAGCATCCTTGCTCCCTTTCTGAATGCATCAACATTATTGTTACCTCTTCCCGAACTTTCCTCTCCGCCTCTTCTTTCTTCCTTCTCTGTTCTTCATCTTCCAGAATCTTCTTCCGTTCCTCACGCTTCTTCTTCAGCTCCTCCAGTTCCACCGCCGCCACTTGTTGCTTCTGCTTCAGCTTCTCAAATTCTTCACTCTCATTTTCGCCCCGCCGACGGCGCAACTCCTCCACCCTCTTGCCAGCTTCCACCTGGGGTTTGCCGTCTTCAGTTCCCGGTGTCGTTTTGAACCCCGGTCGTCTGAGAAAGAAAGAGAAATGTTTTACAAAGGAGCAGGCTCTCGGTCACCGATCAGGGCCAACCCTGAAGGAAGAATTATAATCCCCACCAGAGACTGGGTACCACAGTGAAGGGTATCTCCTCCTAAACCTCACGTTGGTTTCAAGATTTTAAGGGCTTTCCACATTTTAAAACATCAAAATCCAAATCCTCTTTATAACTACTGCTTTCTGAAATACAGATAGTCCTCAACTTACAATCATCCATGTGGTGATCATTTGAAGTTAAAACGACATCAAAAATGTGACTTATGACTGTTTTTCACACTTATGACAAGTGTAGCATTCCCACAATCATGTGATCGAAAAAGGCTTATTGTTGTTATCATTGTTGTTATTAATTTTATTCATTAAACATGAAATTCAGTCAACTGAACATTTAAAAATGTACCATTGACTGGCTCTGATGGTTGATACAAGTTGCTGCCAGCATCCTAGGCATCAACCAAGTATCTTCTTAAAATGTATGTTGTTCTGAGTAGCGCAGTGGTTTTTTTTTTTTTGCAGCTCCGCTGGCACTACAGCTGGAAGCTGCAACTTCTTGATGTATTTCGCAAAATTCTTGAACATGGTACCAAGTGCCCCAATGACAATGGATATATCACTGTTACATGTTTCATTGATAATCACTTAGTTTCAATGGTCAGGTCGCAATCTTTCGTGATTTTTTTCCCCAGTTCTTTTTCTTTGACTCTGGCATCTTCTTCCTCTCCTCCCCCCCCTCCTCCTCATTATTATTATGATTATGATTATTTAGCATCACTTGAAATCCATCTGCAACCATTTGTCCAGGATGGTATAAGGATTCCTGCTTTTGGGCAGGGAGTTGGACTAGAAGATATCAAAGATCCCTTCTAGACCTATGTTTCTATTATTCTATTGAAGAATTAAGGCCTTGTTGAAGTTATGGATTGGGGTCAACCATGCTGATACACTGCATATTTATAATAGGTAGGTAGGTAGGTAGATAGATAGGGTAGGTAGGTAGGTAGGTAGGTAGGTAGGTAGATAGATAGATAGATAGATAGATAGATAGATAGATAGATAGATAGAT